TGAACCAACAATAGTAGCAGATATAATGTTCAACATGTGAGCCATGATGTAATAGCCGCACTCATAACTAACTTGTTGCTTTTGACTCTAAAATTTATTATCAAATGTGAACGTATAGGCAATAGATATTACTCAAAAATTGTTATAGAATACATACATATATATATATATATATATATATATATATATATATATATATATATATATATATATATATATATATATATATATATATATATATATATATATATATATATATATATATATATATATATATATATATATATATATATATATATATATATATATATATATATATATATATATATATATATATATATATATATATATATATATATATATATATATATATATATATATATATATATATATATGTGTGTGTGTGTGTGTGTGTGGAATTATTCATTTGTATGTAAAGTAAACAACTTACAGTGGGATAAAACCATTCTACCTTCTTCTGCTTTCTCACACGTTGTAACTTATTATAAGCTCCCAAAGCTATGCAATTATTTATAATTAACAAAATAAATAAGATACTTACATTTGTTTTAGAACCATAAATCATTTGATAAATTTGCAACAGAAACAAGAAACTAAAAATCATAGTATAATAATATTATTACTTCACTTTTATACTATTTACTTACAAATTGAATCAATTAACAAATGTAGTATAGACTTACAATTCAATAATGTCATAAAATTTTTTATCTGGCTTCTTTCCCAAAGAACATAGAAAGGCTACTTCAAACTTCTTAGGATTAATGACGAACAACTGCCAATGATGACTACAAGAACAAAATACAATAAGTGATTGACTATAAGTGATTGACATATAGTCATTTTGACTATAACAAAGAAAATTCTTACTTGTTAAAATAAGGAGTAAGGTAACATTCTTTTATATCATCACACATCTTCTTTTGTATGTAGGACTGAACACTACCACACTCATTTTGACTATGAGTGAAACCCGGATAAATAAATCCATAAACATTATTGTTGTCCAATTCCATACAAATGCAGTGTAGATATTTATAACATATTGAAAGTTATTTGCATTATAAATGAAATTAAGTAAATGATAAATTATTAAATTTACAAATAAAATATACTTACATGAGCCACACTTGTAAGATAGTGATGCCTAATTCTTTTGTACCCATACACAAGTCTACAATATCTTCCCTTAGGAGCTCAATAGAGGCATATGTCCCACCGAATTCACCAACCGTTGTAACCTCATCTGTGGGCACTGGTACTTTAGCATTTTCATATATCACCTTGGTAACAACCACTCTCACTATATCATTATTCAGCACCTGATTGTGTATATCAGGCCCCAACTTATACACATTAGCATATGCCACTAAATGAGTGTTTCCATCAACATACAATTCACATTCTTCAGGAATATCCTATTGATCATCATTTGGCATATGCGACACCCTTGAACAACTACCCTTTGTGCTTGCATATTGTAAATTGGTATTAGGAGAACAAACAGGGTCATTTGGGTATTTTTGAGAAAAAGCTGGCAAAGATGATATATCCCGCATCACTTACTCTCTAATCTCCTTAGTAAGCTCAGCCTTTATGGTCTCTATTTGGTCGTTATTCAAAATAGGCGGGGTACTAAAATGTTTACGAGAATGGGATCCAAAGAATTGTCGAATCCCCACACCTCGACCAACAGCACGAACACGACCAGGGTGCTCACCTCGCCCTGTGGCTTATGTCAAAATATCTTGTCGTCCTTGTGGGATAAAGGTCCCTTCCAACACCAGAATATCCTACAAATATCATCAATTCAACTTCAAAAAATAGTAAAAATTGATATGTCGGTGCATTAATTCTTTTTTCCACCGCATAGAACAACACACTGTTATGATACTGCATCTTTTTTCCACCGTAATAAACTTTAACAATTTTCAGTTTGACAACATCTTGATAGATAATGACATTTTTCAATGATGTAACAAATTGTGATATTATGTGATGATAAAGTATAATGATGTTATTTAGATGAATCCAATATTGGAAAATTTTAAATGAACAAATGAAAGGGAATTGCTGCTTATATAATCAAAGTTGTTGATATTTTAAATGCTGTTCAAATTATAATGCTGTTCAAATTTTAAATGAAAGGGAATTTGAACAAATGAACAAATTTTAAATTGTGATATTTTAAATGAAAGTATAATGCTGCCACAGCTCCACCAAGAGATAAAGTTGTTATCCAAGGAAGCTACAACTCTCTATCCTGATGTTAAATACACCACTGTAGATGAGTTTCTTAATCAATTTGTCTGAGTTGCAAAACGATATGTGATTTTTCCTCTGGCTAAAACTGTGGCAAATTATATAGCCGTAAGTGTACTTTACTCCGTAAAGAAACTATGAATGAAGAATCCTAATTTCTGAATAATTTCTTCATGTTCGAATGCCTAATGTTGTTACATGTTTTCTGTAAGTAAATGGATTGGAAAGCATACATTATGCACACCTTGATCAATGGTTACGAATAATAGTTCCATTACTAATATGACATCTACTCTGCTCCAAAGCCAATTCAAAAAATCCACCTCCTCCAATACTAGAATTCACACATGGAGGTGGAAACATACCCTTCACTCTCCACAGACTCTCTCTCTCTCTCTCTCTCTCTCTCTCTCTCTCTCTCTCTCTCTCTCTCTCTCTCTCTCTCTCTCTCTCTCTCTCTCTCTCTCTCTCTCTCTCTCTCTCTCTCTCTCTCTCTCATATTCCCCACAGACTCTCTCTTTCTCACTGTCATAGTACCCACATTTTGTCACCATGGCAGAGTTGTAAAAGTAAATATATGCATATGTTGAATTGAAATGATGCATACCAAAACAAAGTAACACTACTTACAATTTTTTCTGTAACAAGACGTGTGTCTTCTGATGTATACTCTCCTGATGGTTTTAGTCGGGCTCTCTTCCACTTCTCATGTCGTTGTGGTGGAGATGGAGGTGGAACCTCTGACCTTCCAGTTGCTGCTTGTCTTTCTTTTATTTGCCATCATACTTTTCTCAAGCAAAACATATCCCCCTTGGGACAACCTATGGAGATATTTATTATAAGACTGTGTCTCGTGTCCCTTCTTTATTTTCTCCTATTATATTGCACGTTGATTCATTAAGTTGTACTAAAAATTAGTTGATTCATGAACTAAATAATAAAGTCAACTAACCAGAAAGGAAGGGTCCTCTCACGATTTAACAAAATCCTTCCACGTTTCTTCATTAATATAAGGGTAATCATCAATAGCAGACATTCCACTCTTAATTCCATTATTTAAATAGCTACTTGTTAAGCTGTTTTTAAAGGACCTCCAACGCTTACCCCCATATATCATCGTTTTCTTATCAACAACATCATTTTTAGAAATGTACCATATTTGCTATGTTACATAACAAATAAAAGAGTTAGTACATATCAAAATATTAAAGTTATGTATAATTGTGACAAATGCAATTAAAATTACCTCAAGTTCTTTCCAAATTTCTTTCCTGTCTTCACTACCAACCTTATCCCATTCATCAATCAGAATACTGATTTTCTCTCTAGCGAGACAAGCAACATGATACTTAAAATCTTTTGCAAGTTCCCCCATAGGATGTCCATCTGAATTGAAATCAATTGGTATTCTCTCATCCGTGCAGTCAAAAGTTGCAACTTTTTCATCCTGGTGCAACCTCTTCCTTTTGTTTTAGTTGATAGAGTATTCAACCCACTTTGCGAAGGAGCTGATGCATCACCCATGAATGTTGAGAAGTGTTCCGATTACACTATTACACACATTTTTCTCCACATGCATCACATCAATACAATGTCTAACATCTAAATTGCACCAGTAAGGTAGATCAAAGAACACAGACCTCTTCTTCCATATATTTGTATGAGTGGTTTGTTTTTGGTTCTTTCCTAATAGAACATTGACATCCTTCACCCGTCCATAAACTTCCTTTCCAAATAATGCTCTTGGAGAAATTCCATTCTCCTGGTCTCCATTAAATGCTTTTCTCAACCTACGATATAGGTGATTAGGTTTAAGAAATATCTGATGCCCAAGGTACACTGTCTTCTTTCCATGTTTTAATTGTTGGAAGCATGTGTTATCTTCATATATAGGACACACCTTATGTCCTTTAACACTATAACCACACAAGTTCCCATATGCGGGAAAATCATTGATAGTGCAAAATAACATTGCACGTATCTTGAAATTCTCGTGGGAATAGACATCAAACACATCAACACATAAACATCTATATCATTTCCTGGCTGCCTTGGGCCCGAAATCATCATGGATAACATGATATATTTTCGTTTCATACAAATTGAAGGATAAAAATTGTAGATGATTAATATAACAGGCCATGAACTATGATTACTACTTAAGTTTCCATATGGATTCATTCCATCAGTAGCAAGTGCAAGCCTAAGGTTTCTTGCCTCATTACCGAAATCCGGATACAAATCATCAACTTTCTTCCATTGCAAAGAATCAGCTGGATGACGAAGTTGTCCATCATGTTCTCTCTCAATCGCATGCCATATAATATTCTTTGCATATTTTGAATTAGAGAATAATCTTTTGAACCTTGGAATTATTGGAAGATACCACAACACCTTTGCAGGAAGACGCTTTGTGTTTTCATCACTATTCAAATCACCATCTTTCACTTTGAAACATGATTGCCCGCATGTGGGACACTTCTTCAACTCTTCATACTCATTTCGGTATAATATGCAATCATTAGGACATGCGTGTATTTTCTTGTACTCCATACCCATCGGACACAATATCTTTTTTGCCTCGTAATTACGATTTGGCAATCTATTTCCTTCAGGAAGCATTTCATACAACAACTCAAGTAGTTCGGTAAAACTTTTATCCGTCCATCCATTTCTTGCCTTCAAGTTGAACAATCTCAACACCGCATATAACCGTGTTAAGTTAGTGCATCCTGAATACAATGACTCTTCATTGTCACTGCACAAAGTATCGTACATATGAGCATGCTGAAAAGACTCGGGTCCATATCATTGATCATGTCCTCTAGCCGATTGTCCATATCTACATCAACTACCTCCCTTTCCGACACACATGACATATTGTTTGACGGTTCACCATGCCATATCCAATTGGTATAACTTTGGCAAATGCCCTCACAAACAAGATGATTTCGTATTTCATCTATTAAAAGTGGCGGCTCTCTATTCAAACAATTAACACATGGACAATAAAACTTATTATTATTAGGAAGTTTTTCACGAGCATATTGAAAAAATGCTTCCATTCCTTTATCGTATTCTGCACCTAAATGATTAGCTTTCATCCAACTACGATCCATAACAATTTCTGAAAAAAATAATCATTTCTTAGAAAAACAATGATTATTGGGAAAACAATGAGAACTCTGATGCCTCAATTAAATCATTGTGTGGTAGCAATATTAAAAATAATGAGAACTATGATTACTACATATGCCAAGTCAAGTCGTATAGACATGCTGTTGAAACAGAAGAAAAATACATGTTTCCTAACATTTTGTTTGATAACTTGTTAGTATTGTTGAAACAGAAGAAAAATACATGTTTCCTACATAAAAATTAGTAGCAATTGTTTAGTATTGTTGAAACAGAAGAAAAAGTCGAAAGCATAACTCAATATACATTTAGTAGCAATTGTTTCAGTTATTAGAAATATCAACCAATGCTTTATACAGTAGCAATCTCAAGCAATGAACCTTGCATCAAATCACATATAATACAAACACTACACCCCACATAAAAATTATTTATTTATTACTCTTCATACGATACACACATAATTGTTATCAACATCATATTCTGCAAAACTCAGGCATCAAAACTCAGGAAAAATTAGCATTTGATAAAAAGGCAAGAACAGGCAGCAGAAAGTAACCATGAACTCATGAAGAAAGAAATTATTCATGCACAACTCAGGCAACAGAATAGAGGAAAAGCAACTACGTGCAGCAGAATAACAACTATAAAACTATAGGTTTAAATATAGCTTCAAGCCACACACATGTCATCAAGAATATAGAATTTGAAGGAACATCATAGCAAGAACAGAAAAAGCAACGACAACACGATCATTAGGCAACAGAACAAAAAGCAACTACATACGATACACACATAATTGTTATCAACATCATATTCTGCACAACTCAGGCATCAAAACTCAGGAAAAAGTAGCATTTGATAAAAAGGCAAGAACAGGCAGCAGAAAGTAACCATGAACTCGTGAAGAAAGAAATTATTCATGCACAACTCAGGTAGCAGAATAGAGGAAAAGCAACTACGTGCAGCAGAACAACAACTACAAAACTATAGGTTTAAATATAGCTTCAGGCCACACACATGTCATCAAGAATATATAATTTGAAGGAACATCATAGCAAGAACAGAAAAAGCAACAACAACACGATCATCAGGCAGCAGAACAAAAAGCAACTACATACGATACACACATAATTGTTATCAACATCATATTCTGCACAACTCAGGCATCAAAACTCAGGAAAATGTAGCATTTGATAAAAAGGCAAGAACAGGCAGCAGAAAGTAACCATGAACTCATGAAGAAAGAAATTATTCATGCACAACTCAGGCAGCAGAATAGAGGAAAAGCAACTACGTGAAGCAGAACAACAACTACAAAACTATAGGTTTAAATATAGCTTCAGGCCATACACATGTCATCAAGAATATAGAATTTGAAGGAACATCATAGCAAGAACAAAAAAAGCAACGATAACACGATCATCAGGCAGCAGAACAAAAAGCAACTACAGTCAGTATACACATTTAGTATTTAAATACTTGGACACACGTTTAGTAACTCAAAGCCATTTATGATACACTCTATGTGTTGCACCCTAAAATTTGCTCAACCTATTTTACTTGGTTTATGTTTCAATTGCATTAGCATTTGCATATAGAGTCATGTACATAGTCTAATCATCTGCATAACATAACATAGCAAGTCATCCAACAGGGGACCAAGCACTATTCTCATCTCTATGAGCCTATCAAGAGGTTATTGTTCAAAATCAAGCACATTCAAGTCATCAGAGAAGAAATTGAAACCTAAGAAGTCAGTGGATCAAGCAGTGCATCTATCTCCTATCTGAGGGTATTTGAAGATCATCAAAGAGATTGTAAGCTGTGAGCTGAGCATGGAGGGTATATAGACATCATGGAAGACTTAGAGAGTCATTTTGAAAGTGAGGCAAGTCATTGATATGATCACAAGAGTTGCAGTTGAAGACAGTCAACTAGGGTTTCATCTGGGTCAACCCTGGGTCAACCCTAGGTCAAATGATTGATTGAAAGGCATTAAGGTCTATTTGAGAGATGTGGGGTTCATCATTTGACATGTAGAGAAGGATGTGGTGTTGTACCAAGAAGAAATCAAGAGAAATCAAGGAGAAGAGGAGTTTCTAAATTAGGGTTTCTGTGTAAAATCCCCTGATTTAGGTCAAACTTCCAAGAAAGATAAGTCAAAATGCAAGCTTCAAATGGATCCTTGGCCAACATGAAACTTGTAGAGGATCTCAATACCTTTAATTTGAGATGTAGAAGACATCAAGGAGATTTATAGAACTCAAGTTATGGTCCTTGCAAGTTACAGGTCATCTGAGGTATCTGAAATTTTGTCTGTGAAAGTTACTTGTCTTCCAAGCAACTTTTACCCCTCAAGGGGATTTCAAATGAATTTCTGGTCAACATAAGAGTTGTTCCTAATTGTCTTAGATTTCTAGAAAGGTATGGTATGCCTTCATATGATTTGTGGAACTCTACTTATGGTCTTGGCAATCAAAGGGTATTTTGGTCATCTGAGAATTACAGGTCATTTCAAGCCTATGCCCAAAACTCATACAAGGAAGCTTCAAATGGAAAACTTCACAACATCAAACTTGCTCCAAATGACATTTTGAGTCTAGAAAAGTGATCATGAAAGATTGGAAAGGCTCATAGCTCAAGGTTTCAAATTTAGTGAATTTAATGAATAAAAAGTGACCTAAAATTGAGATTTTTCATAATTTGGCCAAATGGGATGAAATTATAGGTCATTTTGATTGGAAAAAATGTTTTAAGAACATTGGCAAAAGTGTATTTTTGAGTTTGGTTCAAAATATGGAAGTTATGCTTGGTTACTTATGTATGAAGTAACATAATCCAAAATTCAAGGAAAGTGTGCATGGGAAGTTTCTACAAAGTTCTAGAGATTTCTAATGTCATCTATATATTGCATTGAGAGGCTTCATGCATTGGTTGGTGATTCATTTTGTTCATAATACCAAGTTACACTTCATTCTTCCATTTTGCAAATTCATCTCAAACTTCATCAAATCTTCATCAATTCCCAAAGTTCTTGATCCTATCATCATCAACATCATTCATATATCCAATTTCCATCAAAGATTTGGTTGAATTGAAGAGGAATCGTGTGCTACCAACTTCATCATCCAAAGTGCAAGAAGAAGTGGTTACAAGGATTTAAGGCATTGGAGCAAGAACTTTTGCATACAGAACAAAGAATCAAGTGTGTGGATCAAATCCAGATCATTGCAAGCTTTGAATCTCAAGAATTCTCCATCTGTTTTCATCCTCAAACCAGGTTGGTGTTTCCCTTCGAATTGGCTAAATTAGTTAGCATGTTAGAGAATTTTAGGGTTAGAACTGTTAGGTTAGGTTAGATGATGGAATTCAGAAAGTTTGAGAAGGTTTCATGGAGGTTACCAATGGTGCACTAAATCTGTTGTGGCTTAGAACTCTTAGATTAAAGCATGATAATCTTAGGTTTATAGCTCAGAATGATCAGTGCAAGGTGTAGATCATGTTAGGGTAATAATTGGCAAGAATTGGCAAGGTGGATATCAGTGAACAATGGTGGAATCAGAATCTTCTACCTATCGGGTTTGACATGTGAGTGAGTTTTAGAAGAAACTATTGCCATGGATGTGTAGAGGGGAAGAAGTAGAGCAACTTTGCTCTTTGCATCGTGAGGTTTCATCAAGGTATGAGGGAGCACGAAGGACTGGAAAATTCATGCATGAATTTGGAATTTCTGAAACCCTAGGGTTCCAAGGTTGAAGACGAACCCTGGACCACACGATCATGCATTTGACCTTGACTCAGACCTTAATCCAATGGCCAGTGTTTAAAAAAAATTCGGAGGGAAATTTGAAAGCAGAAACGCACCGTTTCATTTATTCCTTCAGACTGAGCTCAACAATCCCTTGCTCTTCACACCCCCAAACGCAGGCCCATTCCATTTACAACTGAAATTCTTACTATATGCACCGTTTCAGGTTTTTTTATTTTTTGATTGTGTTTTCTGATCATTGGGCCCAGACGTGCTTTGCTAGGCGCGCCCCCCAGTCTGGGCCCATTCTATTATTTTAACTAGAATTAATACTCATTGCACCCCCTGACCCAATTAATCCATATTAATTTCTTTTGATTTTGTTAATTCTTTAAAAATTCACAACAAATTGGAAATGGCATGTTTTTAATTGGTTGTTTTTGCATATTTTTCATATTTTGGTTAAGAAAATTATCATACAAAAAAATTAGCATTTCATTTTATTTTTATATTTTTAGTATATTCTTCTTTTAAATAGGTTGTAAATAATGTTTAGTTTGATGCATGATATTGTTGATTTTAGTTTAGTTAGATGCTTTTATATTTTTGATCCATTCTTTTTAGGTTGATTAGCTTAGAACTTTAGCTTGTATATAAAATTTAATTCATAATTTTAGATTAAAATTTTAGATGATTTGTTTAGGTGTGATTAGTGTGATCAAAACTAGGGTTTAGGAGATAACATAGGTGTATTAAATCAATTCTTTTAAGAGTTGTAGTTTGAATCTTTGGGGTATGGGACTATAGGGGTTATGGGTAGATAATAGATCCCTTAGAAATTGCTAGGTTTCCCTATTCTACTATTACTATCAGTATGTTGCTTGTATTTGCTTGACTGTGTGGTGTGCCCTCCCTAGGGTTATTTCATTTGTCTGTATGGGGTATTGGGCTTGCTTGGGGCTTGGGGTTTGAGCTGAAGACTGTGCTGATGATGAAGCCCATTGGAGATTGAGAGAATTAAGACCAACTTCCAGAGTTGATGAGGAGTATCCCTTGCTGGCAGCTTTTGAGGAGAGTAGGGTTTAGGAGCTAGGCAGAGCTCTAGAGTAGAAAACTTGATTCACAAATATGGAAGGTCTTGTCTGCCTCCATTCTTTCTCTATGATTCAAAGTCTCTTTCAAATATCCACCTCCTTCCTTTGGAAGGATTAGTGAATGTATTTGAAAGATAGA